ATAATTATGAACATGGAACTATTTATAACCAGTGACCAGTACTTTTATTATGCAATCTGCAATACACTAGTCTATCCTGTCTTCTTCCTTCCTATAGGAGATCTGGGATAACGTGTGAGACCTGAACTGAATTCGTATATAAGTGTGTTTATAGTCCCGCCACTCGAACATCTACAGTTCCTTGATCGAAGACCTAATCTTATATTAGTGGAAGGCTGCAAGAGATATGAAAGTCCAGCCAGTATATACAGATGAAAAAAGAGTCCGCCTTCGTGAAGAGTAGAGTATTTCCATAGGGATTAGTGATATACGAATAAAACAGTGATTCCCTTGTACGTTATTATTCCGCGCTTGATTTACTTTCTATGTATAGTACGTTCGTTTATACGCACAGATTTGTTTATTAACTTAGTAATACCCCACATGCGACTATATGCGTACGAATTATATATTTTTGCGTATTACTAGTCAATATATAAACTACAATTACTTTTGATCATCACATTTGGGCAAAACTGTAGTAGCAATAGTAATATTAATTGTAGTTGAAACATTCTCTGTGGGAATCCGTTAAAATCACCAAGAGAATCTGACTCCCGCTTGACACTAAATTATCTGTAATCCCAAAAGAGTTGTACCACTGAAGAAACTTATGATATACTCAACATATAAAGAGGGTCAGGGCTCCTCTTTTAAAATAGACCAAAATGTATATTAAAACGGGAAATATCTTCATAACATTTTTATCTGCATGTGTTCGGAATAGTTACTAGATAGAGTGTGGTGAACAGATAAGGGATAAAAACTAGTAAAAATATCGAACGTGAGTAAGAACCTATGCGAAAGCCAACGAAACATAAATGTTGATTAGAAGACATACTCTTATCCAAATCTTGACAGCTGAAGTTCAATATGTCAAGGATTATTACTCTTCGTAACAACACTTTCAACAGTCCCTCTTTTGATCGCCAGCAATTATATTCACTCGTACAGATTTTTTTATCCTCTCGGTGATGGGCATTTAGTTGTTCTGTAGTGATGATCTTAGTCAATCACAATTCGACAGGCCACATCTGGTGACCGATGACTTCGAACACGCCTCAACGGTGAGTCTATTATTCATCTATCCACATTTATTTCTTCTATCTTTGTTCCATATTTCTTAACGATACCTTTGAGTGTACATTATATTTGCAACAACTTTTCGAAATGGTGGATAGCGATAAGAATAGTGTTAATTTAATAGACTCCGAGATACTAGTTATTAATTTCCGATCTGTTTCTTTTATCCCTTACGATCCAGAAGTCTTGTTCGTGGCACTGGAGGCTCAACTCGAGTAGTATTTAGCAGGACTCACGACGGCAGATTTCAAAATGGTTCGAATATTTACCAGCCGACATACAGCCTACGGTCACGGCCCTGCTCGAGGTCATACAACTTACACAGGTTACCCTGTTAGCGGACAAAATATTATCGGGGACTAGCACTCGTGACAACTATATGGTTACCCCAATATCATATTCGCACGTCAATCTTTGCACTAGTCATTTTTTGGCTCATGGAGATCGGGGTCCCTGTATCCAGAGCCATCTCAAGTTTCGAAACCGTTCCATCATTCAAGAACCCTACGTCCCTCGAGCCAGGCGGCGATCACGTTGAGCTGTAACAACTCGCCCCAAGCGGGCACCTTCCAAGCCAAGCCAAAAGGCGGCTTTGTAAACGTGAACGGGTGTATGCTAGTATACCGTGCCCTCAGGTCCGGTAGTAGCCATTTTCAAACCAACCTGCTCCCCTGCCTGCGAGTAAATACGGCCCAACTCCTTGAACCCTCATCTCAGATCGGCCGCTTATTTTACACACATGATTATCGCACTAACGCACCTTGCAGATGCAAATCCCCAAGTGTCTGTCGTAGTGATTGGTAACAGCAAGTCTCAAGCTACGATCCTTTGACTACGCGTTGTGAATAGCTCTGTCATTCCTACCTATGACACACGAAAGCTTAAAGTCAACCTGAACAACCGATGACAAAATCTGTGGACTTTCATCACTGCCAAATTTCTCACAGCTCTACTCGTCAACGATTTCCAACAGCACTATGAATCGATAGTCGATTCATATGGGCTGTAACTAATCGATACCGCGTTGAACAGTAAATTCATGAGCCTTTGCGCTCAGACAAATGCTTGCCGTAACACAGGCGTTTTTCATTCTGGAAATGATATATTTAACGATTTATTCGAGGAATTCCCTCAACTAACTAAACCTCTCGAGGAGATCCCATCAATGACCAACTATGTGATACACCATATAGTCACAGGCGGAACCCCAAACACGCCATAACCTCGCCGACTGGCACCGGACAAATAAGCCTTCGCTAAACGTGAGTTCAACAATTTACTAACTACTTTTAGTATTCGACCTTCTAACAGTACCTGGGCCTCACCTCTCCACATGGTTTGCAATAAGGATGGGATTGGTTGTAGACCATGCGACGACTACCGAGCATCGTTTTGATAGCTACCCTGCCCACCATATGCACGACATCACTGAGTCACTCAAGGGCACGAATATTTTTTTACGATCGATCTGGTACGAGCATATCATCAGATCCCAGGTGCTCTTGACGATATCGAGAAGACTGCTATCACGACTCCTTTTGGTCTTTTTGAGTTCCTAAGAATGCCATCTAGATTACGGAATGATGCTCAAACTTTCCAAAGTTCTATCGATAGCATAGGACGAGACTTAACTATTCTTCATGTCCATATTGGTGGCCTGCTAATCGCATCATAATCAGCATCTAACACTCCTATTCCAACGCCTTTTCGATAGTAGAATAGTTGTTAACCCAGAAAAGTGTGGACTGGACAAGGCAGCAATAAAATTCTTGGGTCATATCATTAAGCGTGAGGGTATTCCAACTTGTGAAGTCAAAGTACGAACAATCATGGAGTTCACTGTACCATCCTCACTCAAGGAACTGAAGGCTTTCCTCGGCTTGGTTAACTTCTGCCGTGTTCTATTCCTCATGCCGCAGAACAGTTACGCTGCGCCTGATGGTAGCTTTGGGCACGTTCATATAGACATTGTAGGACTAGTGCCACCACCGCATGGGTATGGTCACATACTCGCATGCATCGATCGTTTCAAAATATGGCCTGAAGCTATTCCCATCACTCCTGTTACGGCGGACACAGTTGCTTACCGCGTAGAACGATGGTTAGCGCTGTACAGTTGTCCCTCAACTATCACAACTGACCAAGAAAAACATTTCGAGTCTGAATTATTATCACCGCTAACCCAGCTGCGCATACACACCCAGCTTCAAATGGTTAAGTTGGACGACTACATTGCGAACTCAGAAGTGCTCTTAGAGCATACAAAAGCAACAATTGGAACGAAACCTTGTCGCTCGTTCACTTAGGCATCAGAACGAACTTAAAGGCAGATATTTAATGTTCCGCCGCTGAATTAGTATACAGCACGACATTGCATTGATCGTCTCAAGCCTACAGACGTCGATGATAGTGCCCTACCGTATAAATCAAGATTCAGTGTTAGCCCCCTCACACTTACTAGCGGGATCCTTACAGCTAATTTGGACCCCGCGCTAGATACATCAGAGAGCTCATTCTCAGATACCAGTCAACGGCTCGAGTCATCTGCACCATCTAGGGGTGAGACTTCAGCCTCACGTTCAGATCAGCAGATCACGCCACCCTTGACTTCGAATGAGACTGCAGTCCCGCGGGGTAAGTACAAGACTACTGTCTCACGTTCCAGCGGCCTCTACGCTTTTGCGTCTAACCTCTCAATCAACAGCGGATTCGTATATGATTCTATTCCCATACTACATTCAAACCACACCTTTCTCTTTTTCTTTGTTTTTTTTTTATCTTTATCCCACGCCTCCGACTAGCGTCCTGCTGGTAACATCGACTTCAGTCAATGTTGACAAAAGCTGGCCTGCTGACTCACGCCGTTGTCAGTGTACCCTGTCGATGTTCTGGTTCCGAATATGTCTGACATGCGTATGGTCTCGAACATGGTGGTTATGGTCGCTTCCGGTTTCTTGGCTCAATTGGTTCGGTTCCACGTCTGTAGCGTTTTCTTGTCCGGCCCCTGCGAACTCAGTCTGCAGATTCTGGATATACGTCACGCTGGTGTGGTACGCCAACTCGAGCAACAAAAGAAAATCTCCTTCACTTACGAATGAGGAGAATACGAAATATGTAATAAGTCTTAAATTTAGACGCTGCAAGGGATAACTTAGAATATTACGCCTTAGCCTCACAGGAAATACATTATTTAGAAACAACCTTATCATTATATAAAACATGATGAGCATTTCTGCGGAACCTCAGATGCACTAAACGTTTGTATGTATGTGGAGGTTAGGGGTGCAAAACTATAGGTTGGGTTGTAGTCATTCTGTCAGCTCTTAACCAGTTGCAAAGTACTGAAATATCCTTACCTCTAAGAAGGTCCATGCAAACGTCTCTGGACTTCATCAATAGATTCGTGTTGGCCTCATATCAGCACAGCATATTGTTTTCTACCACTTCGTTATTTCTGCTTGCTTCATATGTCTTAGTCTCCCTCTGAAGACATATATAGTCCACTATAATTTTTCTTGGCTTCTGGTTAGGCAGAAGCCTCCTTTACTCCATGGACCAGCTGCCTTTTGAATCTCGGTCCTCTCTCACAATCCTCACTGCCAATTAACAAACTAAATTCATCTATATATTATTCAGTTCTGAAATTTTATTCATATTATCATTTTAATTTTATCCTTATTACCCTTATTACTCTCCACATTGCAACTAACTGATCTCCGGTTTGGTAATATGACGGCTGCTGGTATTCAGAAACCCTACTGCCTTGAAACAAACGTTTCATTCAAATCCCGAGACATACAAACTCTTAACCAACTGCTAACGGACTAGAATTAGACAGTGGAGTGGTTAGACCTCCATCCATTGGACATTATTGAAAGCCTGGAACCGTACCGAAGTAACAAGAATCGAGCTCAAAGAAATCAAAATGGTTTACACTAGCTCGTGAAAAAGATATTTGATATTGGATATTGGAGGTGGCGGCGCATCTAAGCATTGTCGTAACAGCTTAGGATGCTTAGTGTACTTGGTGGTGTTTCGGAGGATTTTAAAGGTGTCAGTACTGGGGTTAGTAGATAGTATACATTGCACATAAATCTTTTAGACTACACTTTTTGCATGCGAGTATGATGGTGGCGTTGTTATTGGAGCCGATTCCAGGACATCATCTGGGTATATTCTCTAACCGCTAAAGTAATATTACAGGACGTATGTTGTGAACCGCGTAACAGACAAGCTGACGCAACTAACAAAATCTATATACTGTTGTCGATCTGGATCTGCTGCTGACACTCAAACAGTTGCGGACATGGTTCGCTACCAGTTAGATTTTCACCGCCTAGAAATGAATAGAGAACCAACTGTTTTGGAAGCAGCTGTTTCTTGCAAACATTTCTGCTACAACTACAGAGATGACTTGGTTGCAGGTATTATAGTGGCTGGGTGGGATGAAGAATTAGGTGGTCAGGTATTAGCATGATTGTGTTATCTCTAAAGATAGATTTATTCTGTTCCTCTCGGTGGCATGCTCGTAAGACAGCCAATCGTTATTGGTGGATCTGGTAGCACATATACTTATGGATACGTCGATCACGGTTTTCGCAAGGGGATGACAAGGGACGAGTGTGTCGATTTCGTTTTAAAGGGTTAGTTTGTCCGATAAGTGTTTATTTAAAAAGACCTATGGTTTATTAACGGATAATAATGTAAAAGCTTGTTGTGCTTTAGTAGCCTTTCATAGCTGTTAAAAATGAGACCTCACTTTCTGCCAATACTCATGTTGCTCTGTATAATGATACGCATTTAATTAATATATTCAACCTTCGATACCGCGTGAATCTTGACCAGCCCGAACGCTATCACGTTCTTTTAAATAGCATCCGGAATTGAAGTTAGGATGTTTAGTAGTCAAATATCGTTAAGATTCCAGAAAGTTATTTGATGTTCAGACATGAATTTTTAGATGTATTTCAGTCAACACAATCGTTGTTTATAGAACTTAAGACTGAGTTTTGAGTCAGTTCTTAACCTTTGTGTCAGTAGTCTACGGCTTGTAGTATTACTATCTGACTCTCAGTTGTCTCCTATTTATTACAAGTTGCCCAAACGAAATAATAGTGAAGTGTAGATACTGTATAGTTTAATATGATCTAGTTTGGAGGCACAATTAATGACAAAAATTGCTGCCAGTCTTTTAGCTTCAAATTCCAAGAAATTACAGGTTGGTTTGAATATGAAAATAAAATACAACCCCCAGATTTTTTCGTACAGTATTGTTTTAAATAATTCATAACTGTTCATTTAATGAGAACTGTTCGGAAACTCCTAGTGTGTGCACTTAACTTCAGTCCATATTGTTTAAGAATTAGTAACGCTATAAAGCTGTCATAACTTGAAATAGATGAAATTGGGTTCAAACCTGAGACAAAAAGAAGTTTTGTCAATAATGAACCGCGTGAAAACCTGATATCACTATACATCGGTTCAAATTACCAAAGTGAATTTAGAAGTAGCAGTAGTAATGATGGCAGTAAAGAAGATCGGGCAGAGAGTACTATTCTACATGAGGGTTAAATTAGTTAACCACTGAGCCCTATTGCTTTAATACTTCAAAAGTCCACAGTATCAGCCTAAAAGAAACCGTATTTTTACTTCCGTCCACAATTTTATATTTTCAGATACATTTTTTCGATTTCAGTGATAGGTGTTTTCAATCATCTGTGTAACCTACAACTCATATTCGGGTGCACGTAATTATCATGTTCCAATAACTTCCACCATCGATTTTCTTAACACTTGAAAAACCGTTAGGTGTGCTTGGTTTCAAACTGTTTGTAAGTACGATATAAACGATAGAAAATACCACACAACCAAACAGTTAGACCATGTTCCCCACTCGTATGAAGTTTGATGTCACTGCATCAAATAATCTTAATTTCAAGCTGAGTCCATACTGTGATATGGTATTCTTGTTCAATATTCGTTTTGTGATCCTTTAGTTAACATAGTTAAATGTTATTTTCATGTCGAAAAAATGTAGCTGGAGTGACGTGCGATTGCTTTCACCTACTTTTCAGGGCCTTGTTAGAAGTGAAAGAGTCCTGAGTTTTATCAGATCTTGGATATAAATGATCACCAAAAAAAGTTTGTCAGTTACTAACTGTATCAGCCAGAACGTATCGTTGTTACTATTTATACACAAACATTAGTACAAAGGGGCACCTAAATATTTATGTCCCACACAAATAAGTAAATTTGTGTTTGGGTTGAGGTACTGTCCGAATGCCTAAGCTAAAGCGGGTTGTTCTCCTAGGGGGCACTTCCTGCTCTTTTGGTTTAGAACTCTTGCCCAAAAGGCAGTAGAGTGAAGTTAAGAAACATAATCCCATGAAAGCCGGTGACCAACAATAAGTTCATACGCCATATGTTCCTTCTGGATCCGGGAATCTACGTGCCTCATTGGTTTACAATCAGGGTTTTCCAACTCCCCCAGGTGTATCCTCTGTACCCACAAACCCGTTCACAACACCGGACATTTACTTTTAGTCCTCTCAACTTTCCAAACAGCATCTGTGCTACACGAAGGCAGTGAGTAGGACTTCCTTGGCATTGAAGGCTGTTTACGCGTTTCTATCTGAAGGTATTTGTAGAGGGGGGTCGAACTTGGCCGTACCAGGTAGGGGAGACGTATAATATCAAAGTATTCCCAAAAGACATTGGGTTACTATTGTTTATTCAATCAATCGAAGAAATACTCGCTTGAGACTAACAACATAACTTCTTTGGAAATTATCCTTTGTACGTTCAGTGTGTAATTCAAAAGAGTCAGCTCGTTTTCTACAATGGAAGTACATTGCAGTTAGATATACTAGTTTGAAGAGACCGTAGTCATCACAAGTTTGTTTTCAAACAATATGAATATAAACAGGAGCAATAAAATACGTGTATATATTTTGGTGAATTAACGCACTTAAAAAGAGCACAACTTAAAGAAAGACCTAAAACCCAAATTCTTACCCGTTTATTGCTTATAAACAAAACATACGTAACGATACGTTAGTACTACATTTTAAAACCTATGTTTTATCCAATCCAGGTGTTGCTCTTGCCATTAACAGAGATGGTTCCAGCGGTGGATGTGTACGTCTAGCTGTTATTTCCAAGGACGGTGTGGAAAGAATGCTAACAAAAGGCAATGACGTTCCAGTGTATCGATTTTCTTGAAATATAAATAAATTCTTATGAATGATAAAACATTACTTTCTTATATTTCTACCCTAAATATACTGTCTGTTCTACTTTTCTCACCTTACTGTTATAAAATTATTCTGTAAGACTTATTTCGACTACCCAAATAACTAGTGCTTGATATCCGTTTTTAGTCTCTCAGAATATGATACATGCTTGATTTGTAAGATTGTTATCCTATTAGTATATTTTTTACTCAAATGAATGGGTATTATTCTATTTAAATAATATTCATAGTTATCTGAGTTGTCTGAATTATATTAGAAAGGGGTTTGAACTTGTCACTTAACAGTTGAAGGCTGTGTTGGTCGAAAAACGACACCGGAAATATCATTATCGTATATGTTCTTCAAAGGCCGATTTTATTGGTATTCAGAGAAGGATTTTAAAAAGCTTCTGAATGTCAACTTAAAACAAATTATGGAGATTTTCACTGTTCGTATTGATACTAAATGTAAGGGGTTTAGTAGTGTAGTGAAGGAGAACACAGGTGGGGGCAACCGAATTGTATTTAACGAAAATTACAGAGTTACTCAGTAAAATAGGAAAACCATATCGTAAATCCTTAATTTGCAAAATATCAGTCCATCATATCGAACTGGACTGTTCCTGTTGCAAAACATCAATCCATTGTCACTATTCATGCGTTTCATACAAATTCCATTGTGTTCTAACTCTTCCCTTCTTGATCTTCCCCATCTTCTGCTGCCAGACATTACGTTGACGCTCACGTCATATACTACTTATTAGTAGCTCTCACCACAGTAGCATTGTGTACCTTTTTACTATCAGTAATGCAACTCTAAAATGTTACCAATAATCCTTGTATTTACATTGAGAAAACGAAGTTTCTTTAAACTATGCCATATATTTGAGCAATATATTTTGGATATCGTATTTACATTATCAGAAGGATCAACTTTTACGATTTCTAGAAAGTCTTTTTGTTCAATTTTTATGCAATTGGACAGTTAAATATTGAATGTCTGATTTTAGCATATTTTTTCTAAGTTCTGTTAACAAACGTCAGACCTGTAAACCTCTAGATTTAACTAAGATAGTTAAATTAACTGGTTAGTTAATTCTTAGCTTATCACTGTCACAGATTGAGATTTCCGCTTTTCTGAAGGTAAAAGTACCAGGCTTGTTTTGTATGAAATAAATTGGTAACAAACGGTTTGATAACTATTTCCACATGCAAGTATCAGTCGACAACAGCACTTTAATACTTGGGACCACTTATTTTATCCAGTTTTCGCTCATCAGTAATGTGCTTGTTTATCTCTGAAAGCTACGAATAGTAGTAACCAATTATTTCCTAACTCCGCCAGTAGAACCTTCGGGGCTACTGCCGGTCCCAAGCCCGGGTAAAGGAGGAGGGTTGGACATGGGGTTGGCGACCCCATTCCGTCAAAAACCAACTTGCCAAAAAAACGCTAACCAGAAAAAATTATTCAAACCATTTTAACTCTGCCCTGGGAGTTGGAGGAAGAATTATGACGTCGCGTGATGAAAGCCGAGTTCCCCCGGAAGTCACGGGGCCGATGCCTCTTCTGACAACCAGAGCAACCATTTTTTTAGGTACATGGAACGTTCGTACATTGTGGGAGACTGGAAGACTATTTCAAGTTGCGGCAGAAATGAGAAGATACAACCTCGAGGTGCTTGGAATCAGTGAAACACATTGGACACAAGTAGGACAACTGAGACTAGCTTCAGGGGAACTGCTGTTATACTCTGGTCATGAAGATGAAAATGCTTCACATACACAAGGAGTTGCACTGATGCTGTCCAAACATGCACAAAAGGCACTGATAGGATGGAATCTCATGGACCCAGGATCATTAAAGCATCCTTCAAAACAAAGAAACAGGACATTACAATGAACGTCATCCAATGTTATGCAACTACCAATGACTACAATGACGACGATAAAGATCAATTCTACGAAAGGCTGCAGTCAATCGTCGAGAAATGTTCACCAAAGGATTTGGCGATTCTTATGGGAGACCTGGATGCCAAGGTTGGAATGGACAACACTGGATATGAAGACATCATGGGACGACATGGACTGGGAGAAAGAAACGAAAACGGTGAGAGATTTGCAAACCTATGTGCCTTCAACAAACTGGTCATCGGTGGAACAATATTCCCGCACAAACGCATACACAAAGCTACATGGATTTCACCGGATCACACTACTCAAAACCAGATTGATCATATCTGTATCAACAAAACGTTCAGAAGGACTATGGAGGATGTGCGAACCAAGAGAGGAGCTGATATAGCCTCAGATCACCATTTGCTGATCGCCAAAATGAAACTGAAGCTAAAGAAGCACTGGACAACGGGGCAGACAACATCAAGGAGTTTAATACGGCCTTTCTTCGGGACACCGTAAAGCTCAACGAATCCAGGATAGCCCTCACCAATAGGTTCCAGGCCTTTCAGGATCTACACAATGGAGAGGACGCAACATTGGAGAACAATTGGAAATGGATTAAGGAGGCAATCACTTCAACATGTCACGAAGTTCTGGGTCAGAAGAAGTACCATCACGAGGAATGGATCTCTGTTGATACTCTTGCAAAAATTGAAGGAGGAACAAGAAGGAAGCAATCAATGTCAGCCGAACAAGAGCAGAGAAAGTTAAGGCACAAGCTGCACACACAGAAGCAAACAGGGAAGTGAAGAAGAGCATCAGAGCTGACAAACGAAAATATGTGGAAGATCTAGCAATGACGACGGAAAAGGCTGCAAGAGACGGAAACTTGAGACAATTGTACGAAACAACAAAGAAGCTCGCCGGGAACTATCGTAAACCAGAACGACCAGTGAAAAGCAAGGAAGGCAAAGTAATCAGCAACACTGAAGAACAGCGAAATAGGTGGGTAGAGCACTTTCAGGAACTCCTGAATTGACCAGTTCCACTGAACACACCCAACATCGAAGCAGCATCCACGGATCTCCCAATTAATATTGGCGCACCTATGATTGAGGAGATCAGTATGGCCATCAGACAAATCAAGAACGGCAAAGCGGCAGGACCAGACAACATTCCAGCAGAGGCAATGAAAGCGGATGTAGAAGCAACTGCGAAAATATTTCACAACCTCTTCAAGAAGATTTGGGATGAGGGACAAGTACCATCAGATTGGAAAAAAGGATACCTGATCAAAATACCAAAGAAAGGCGATCTGAGCAAGTGTGAGAACTACAGAGGCATCACTCTTCTTTCAATACCAGGCAAAGTCTTCAACAGGGTATTGTTAAACAGAATGAAGGACTTCGTAGACGCCCAACTTCGAGATCAACAGGCCGGATTTCGGAAGGATCGATCGTGTACTTACCAAATTGCTACATTACGGATCATTGTGAAACAATCAATTGAATGGAACTCACCACCGTACATCAACTTCATCGACTACGGGAAAGCATTCGATAGCGTGGATAGGAAAACACTGTGGAGGCTTCTTCGACACTACGGTGTGCCTGAGAAAATAGTCAACATCATATGGAACTCTTATGATGGATTTCTACGGAGCTCAGCTGACAGACTCTTTCGAGATGAAGACCGGTGTCAGGTAAGGTTGCTTACTCTCACCCTTTCTCTTTCTCCTGGTGATCGACTGGATTATGAAGACGTGGACATCTGGAGGGAAGCACGGTATCAACTGGACAGTTAGGACGCAGCTGGACGATCTGGACTTCGCAGATGACCTAGCTCTTCTATCTCACACGCAACAAGAAATGCAAGAGAAGACGACCAGTGTAGCAGCAGCCTCTGCAGCAGTAGGTCTCAACATACATAAAGGAAAAAGCAAAATTCTCCGATGCAACACAACATGCACCAACCAAATCACTCTTGATGGAGTTGCCTTGGAGGACGTTAACACCTTTACATATCTGGGCAGCATCATCGACGACAAAGGTGGATCCGATGCAGATGTGAGGGCGCGGATTGGCAAAGCGAGGGCTGCATTTCTACAGTTGAAAAATATCTGGAACTCTAAACAACGTTCAACCAAAACCAAAATCAGGATTTGCAATACAAATGTGAAGACAGTTCTACTGTATGGAGCGTAAACTTGGCGAACTACGAAAGCCATCATCCTGAAGATACAAGTATTTATTAACAGTTTTTCTACGCAAAATACTTCGTATTCGTTGGCCAGACACCATCAGCAACGACGAACTGTGGGAGAGAACAAACCAGATTCCAGTGGAGGAGGAAATCAGGAAGAAGAGGTGGAAGTGGATAGGACACACATTGCGGAAATCACCTAACTGCGTCACGAGACAAGCCCTCACATGGAACCCTCAAGGCAAAAGGAAAACAGGAAGGCCAAGGAACACATTACGCCGAGAAATAGAGAAAGATATGAGAGGAATGAACAAACATTGGACAGAACTGGCGAGAGAAGCCCAGGACAGAGTTGGTTGGAGAAAACTGGTGGGCGGCCTATGCTCCATTGTGGGTAACAGGCGTAAGTAAGTAAGTAATTATTTCCTATTTTTATATAAATGTCAAACTAATAATTTAAACTTCCCTAATTCAACGTAAAACAAAACTAGTAATTACTTTGGCAAAGTGCGATTTTCATTTGTTTTCAGCGCATATCTGATGGGATTAATAAATAACCATTTGTATGCATCAATACCAGTCAGTCTGTTACAACGTAGAACTTTGTACGTAAGTACATTAGTTCAGCTTTCCATACCACATTAGCACAGAGATGTAATTGTCGATTCAAATCTAATAGTAGTAGAGGTAGTAAAGGTATTAGAAGTATGATTCAGTGAAAGTCAAAACTAGAGGTGTTGAAGTATCCAGAAGATTAGGATTTGAGAGAACAAAGAATAAATTCACCGGCGCCATTGCAAACGGTTTTGAGCAATGGCATACGTAACACATGTCCCAACCACCTCAACTGGTGAAGTTTCACTACTTCATCTATTGATTTGCAATCCCTACCTAGAACTCGTTTCCTAACGACAGTATTGCTTACTCGGCTGTTTCATGATATACGAGCAATGCTTTGGAGTCGAATACTAGTAACCTACGGAAGTCCTCTACTCTTAACGGCCATGTTCCACATCCGTATAGTAGGACGAAGCGAACTGCTGTACAGTACACTCGTCCTTTGGTAAACAAGTGGATATTTCGCCTGTGCCATAAGTGACACAAGTTGGCAAAAGCCAATCGAGCT